CATACTATCATCAACTTGAGCAATAGAATCAGATACAACTTCTGATGTATTATTATTAATTGAAGCATTACTACGACGAGAACGTGTTGATGATGATGATGATGATGATAATGAAAGATTTTTATTTGATGATGACATTATTTCATCATGACAACCATGACAAGCAAAATCACCTTTAGGAATGTTATTTAATGGTGGATTACAACATTTTGGGTGTATACCAGAATCACAAAAATCACAGAATAATAACTTAAAATAATAAAATAAATAAAAAATAGAAGAATATTTTAATTTCTTACTGAATCATCACTTTTATTACAAACAATACATCGTTTACAATCGATACATTGCCAATGAATTGTTCGAATTTTTTTTACTAATTTTTCTGAATATTGTAAACATGATGGATGTCCTAAATAATAAAATTTTGTTTTAAATTACAAAAACAAAAACTAAAAATAAGAAAATAAACTTAAATTATACCTGAGTTTCCACATTCAGCACAATGTATCATTTCTTCTGGAACACCATTGGCATTTTTTTCATTATCACCCAAACAAAATCCACATATACCAATTGGTTTAGCAGTTTTCTGAAATTGTTTAATTGAAATATTTCAAAAGAAAAAATACCATTTTATTATACTTTTTTATCATGACTAGCTGATGATAATCGTGTTTGTCTAGTAGTTGTTGATGTGGGTGCAGTGGCCTTGGCCAACGACGATGATCGTCGATCTCGTGCAGCTTTGGCTACCATTGAAAACTTTTTTATATCACATGATCTAGAAAAACAGAAAAAATAACGATGGAATTTTCTTTTCTATATATTTTTATGAACAAAAGTCGGTCGGTCAATGCCTTAGTTGACACACGAGGAAGAAAGATGAACGATGACTCATCAACCGCAATAATAATAGTAAATATACACAACAATGTACCTTGAATTCGTTCAATGAGTTTTGAGATTTTTAGGAAAGAAAAATTTTGAAGAAAAACATATGATTTTCTTTTTAGAATAATGGGAATCATTTTATTTTTTTCATTTACGACAATAAATTAACGAAAAAAATTGATGCAGAACGACACTCACTTGTAATGAGCGACATCTACAAGGAAACGAAATTAGGTCAAATTTGTTTAAAGATTTAGTAAGTACGAATATAATCATTTTTGAATGGTATTCTGTTATTGGTGATGTCTAAATGAGTATGATCTAAAACGATTGAGTGTTTCGAACAAGTCAAGTAACGATTTTTGTTTGCTGAATATAATCGTACAGTAACATCTTGTTGGGGAGCTACAGATTCGAATTCACAAAAACGTGTATCCGCATCTCCTCTATTCACTTGATCTCGTTTACACAAATACAACTACAATTATTCTAATACCGTTGAATATTTTAATGCTTCTGTTGGTTTGACGAGTTTCCTTTATTATTAACTGTTTAATTTCGCTTTTTGTTAACATAATGCTCTTTTCATTTAAATGTAAATATTTAATATATTAAATATCGAGTGTCGAAAAATTGAACAACAAGAAATAACTATACGTTGATTGTTTTTTCGAGAGAAGCCAATAAATAGCCGACATTTTGATCCTTTACTTGTTCATGCATATAGAATATCCGATGCGAATCAAGGATCCGCATGGGATCGGATGGGACGAAAAAGTTTCCATTCCATCCCATCGCACGGTGGAAGGAAATATTTGAGGATAATCCCAATCCACGTGGGACAGAAAATTTGGAAGATACTTCCATCCAAAATGGGACGGCTTGTGACAGCTCATCCTATGGGAGGTTTTTTTCGTCCCGTCCCATTTCACGCAGAATCCTGATGCAAATCTACACCAAAGCGGCAATGTACAGTTTCTCTTCTCTTTTACTACGTTCTTTCCAGCCATGTTTCTGATGACAGATGTGCCGAAAATGATAGAACATCCTGCTGCTTGGAACATACACAGTATTTTGATTTTTGCTCAGAAAAGTAGAATCGGTGATGAGTTTAGAGAGAAGCGTGGTAAGAATGATTGCCTTCTCTATCAAGAAACAGTTTCTGGCCTTTTTGCAGCAAAGAACATCTAGAAACGAACTGAAATTACCGCTAATGAAAAATCAGAATATGTTTTCGATTGACTGATGAGTAGAATCAATGGTGTAGCTAGCCTTGGATCATTGGACAATTGCCCAACAACTTAAAAGTTATTGCCCAATGGTTTTTTTTTGGAAACGATAGTAATTGCCCAATGCTAAAAAATCTTGATATATGTGTGTTCGAAGACTTAAGTGATGTTAATTTTTATAAATTGTCTCCTATAGTGATGTAATCAAGTGATCGAGAAAGATCAATTGACGATCTTTTCAATTAAACCAATAACCACAATAATTATAATTCAATCGTATTTTTTCGTCAAAACTCTCGCTATTCCACTTAAATGCGTTGACGTAAAAGATGGCTGCATACTTAATGACATTTCTGAGCATATAAAATCGTATCAGACGTTAACGACTGAAGTAATCTAAGCCAAACTTCTTTATCGGTACTGGTAACAGTAGAGAGAATCAGACCGAGCATGAGTCATTCTTAATTTTTTTGACCTTATACCAGGAAAATCAAATCCATTAACTACCTATATCTGTCTTCCAATCAATGCAGTGATATGATAAAAGTCATCATATAGTAGTTTTTGCTGTTTATTTCCATAAGTTCTCTTTCACTATAACATTTGTTAATGAACAGAAAACTTCATAGCACTACAAATACTATATTCGCTTTCCTCATTCATTAATTGTACATGTAATCTGCTTTCGCATCACATGTTTTTTTTATTGTCTTTCAAGTTTGTGCGAGACATGTCCTACAAATAATAACGGAGACACAAGAAAATCTATGATAATCAACAGTGTTGAACAACTATCCAGTTTTAGTATAACTTGATATAAGAGTGAGTTAATAAAATACACCAAGAATTGTATGATGAATTCTGACTAATGAAGTAGTCTAGTCCATCTTCCTTTACATAAGTAGTCTTCGCGATCAATGAAAAGTGTACGGTATACGAAAAAAACAAAACATATCCTAATTGTTTTGAGAAAAAAAGATGCGAAAATTAGAAAAAACTTTATACCAGCCGATAAAGAGAAGCTGCATCTACCGGTGTATATATCGATCGGTAAAGAATTCTTTATCGGACCTAACGTTCACCGTTACAACTCCGCTTACTTATCCTTTTTTTTTGAAATATCGGCTGATCCCGATTAAATGGCGATGTCTTTATTTTCTCTTTTTCGTTGTATTATGTTAATAGTTTCTTCTAACTTTTTACGAAAAGATGGGACACGAAACACTACAAAATTCCATATTTCGGTTAATTGTGATAACTTTCATTATCTGATAAAAGCATAGAAAACTGTTTTGAAAAATGAATGCGACTTTCTAAAAGAGTTTTTGGGCGTAATATTTCGAATAACGTACATTTCATGAATTCGTTAATCGGCGATTTGGACGAAACTGATGTTCATAGACATTTGAACAGCAAAGTCGCTTCACAGACACCTTCGATCCTACTACTATATAGAATGAATTCGTTGAAATCATAGATTAGAAATCACTAATCCATGGAATGTACGTTATTCGAAATATTTCGCCCAAAAGCTCTTTTAGAAAATTGCATTCATTTTTCAAAACAGTTTTCTAAGCTTTTATCAGATAATGAAAGTTATCATAGTTAACCGAAATGTGGCATTTTATAGAGCGTTTCGCGGCGCATCTTTTGGTAAAAAGTTAGAAAAAAACTATTGACATAGTAGTAAACCAAAAAAGAGAAAATAAGACACCGCGATTTAATCTGGATCACCCGATAAAATATTCAAATATTTGAAAGTCAAAGACTATATTGGTGAACCAGTACTAAAAAAAGCGAGAGAGCTCCTCTTAGTTGACAGTAACAAACTTCTTTTCAATAAAGGTCGGCTTTTGTGATGGTTATAAGTTTTAAAAAATTTATAGCCCAATTGACTTTGAATTGCTCATTACTGCCCAGTGCTGAAAATAATTTAGGTGAGAAATGACCCATGACTCAAAAATTCCTAGCTACGCCACTGAGTAGAATGTACACAAGTCTTTCCTGAATAAAACAATCGTTTGTTTTTCAGTTGATTGAGTGATTTTTTTTTACTGGAAAACAGAATACTTGTTTAACTTCCTCATATACTTTTTCGAATACAATAAAATGTTTCTTTCGTCTGCTAATCTCTCTTTAATTAAATCAAGAAAAAAAAACACAAAAATATTTTGTTTTTCTTTCAAATATACTTTTTAAAACTTTCTCATTTTACATTTTCTAGTTCAAAAAAAAACAAGATGCTTCCTGCATATACTTTGTTAATATGAACAGAGTGCGCGAAAACATTTTATTTTTCATTATCATTATATACAATGCTGTTAACATTAACTATTTCAAAATAGAAGTAATGTACCAATGCATATTTTATCTGTACATTTTTCAAATAGAGACAATACAAATTATTTTTTTAAAATTATTAGTACTTCAAATGCTCTGCTTTCGCTTGGATAATTTTAAAAATATGAATATATCAAGTCAATATATGAAGTAAACATGATTCGTTGTTTCTACCATAGATGTTAATCAGTAACCACTATATTATATTAATTCATTAATGCATTTGTATAACATTCATATAATATTAAAATATATCTTTGAAATAAAAATGCTCAATTATTTTTAATTTCAATATAATTTTCTTACTTATTCATATAATAACGTTAGAAACAAATCATCTTCCTTATTGTAACCAATGAAATGATTGTTTATTTACCACTTGGATCTATACGAAGAAAAAGAAATACAAACTGGGTTTTCTCGTTAATTTCTTCACTTTAATCATTTCTTTTTAATAAATATTCGAATCAAAATTTTTCATTTTAATTATTTCTAGACCAAAAAAAAAACGAAAATCAAGAAGACATCTAATTCATCATGCCCTACGATCGTTTAGTTCAAGTTGGTCGAGTAGCTTACATTGCTTATGGTCCAGAAAAGGGTAAAATTTGTTGTATTACAAATATTATCGATCAGACACGTGTACTTGTCGATGGTCCATCATCACATGTAAGTCGTCAAGCATTAAATATTAAATCATTACATTTAACAAAATATGTACTCAAACTTTTACCTGGTGCTCGTTCAAAAACAGTTAAAGCACTTTGGGATAAACATGATATTAATAAAAAATGGCAAGAAACACGTTGGTTTAAAAAATTACAAGCAAAACATTTACGTTCAAAAATGACGGATTTTGATCGTTTTAAATTATTACATGCTAAACAAGCATATAATCGTATATTAAATCATGAATATAATCGTTTAAAAAAGAAGAATAAAGTACAATTAGCTCGAAAAACAAAAAAAGTTAAACCACGAAAATTTGTTGCTAAATCTAAACGTATTGCAAATAAATTTAATATTTTTACTAAAACAACAACAGCAGCAGCTGGAAAAAAGAAATAAATAACTAGAATAAATATTCAAATCAAACAAAGAAAAAACAACAACAATAATAACAACAACAACAAGCATTGTTTTTTTTTCTTTTTCCGTTATTTTGTCTTGTTCGTTGCTTGTATGTTTTTTTTTTCAAAACGAAAAAAAAAAGTAACATTCAGAAAATAAGAAGAAGAATAAAGAAAAAACAAACAAATTCATACGATTTAATTTTTGTTTTAATATCGTTTTGATTGATTCTAGATAGCATTCGGTTTGTTTTATTTCTTGTAAAATTAAAGAAAAAAAAAGGCTTCTCTTGATCATGACAGAAGAATCATCGAATGATGTGCAAACATCTAAAACATCTGAACAAGTTAGTTTTTATATGAAAGGGATAATTAATTGTTGGAATTTATTATGTATGTAGCAAACGACAGCAACAGGAGGAACGGCACGTTTAGGTATTGGACGTGGAAAAGCTAAACCGGAAATGAATAATAATGGTACAAATTAAACATTTATTTATTTATTTTTTTCGATGAAAGACTTATTTTAGAACTACCACCACCATCAACTTCAAAATGGAATAATAGTGGTGCAACCGAAAGTTCAAGTGGATTTCGTAATAATAATGATGAAAACAGTAATCCAAATAGTAGTGGAGGTTTTGGTTCACGAAGTAGCGGTGGCTTTAATGGTAATAATTATTAATTGGGTTTTTATATCTATGAAGTAAAATTCTTTTGTTTTTTCTTTATTCAAGGCGGACGTAGTGGTGGTGGAGCATTTGGATCGAGTAATGATGGCAATGCTCGTAGTAAGTGTAGTACAAAAATATTCATTGAAATCATTTGTTTTTTGTTTTTAAGCATGCTACAATTGTAATAAGACTGGTCATATGAGTCGAGACTGTCCTGAGCCACGAAAAGAAAATCGTGGCGGCAACAGCGGCGGTGGTGGAACCCGTGGTGGTTTTGGTAGCAATCGTGGTGGATTCAATTCTGGTAGTGGAGGTGATCGTGGTGGATTTAATTCAGGTAGTAATGGTCGTGGTGGATTTAGTTCAAGCGGTGGTGGTGGTGGTGGTTTCAATTCCAGTCGGGGAGGTTTTAATTCAAGTAATGGCGATCGAAATGTAAATTTCGTATCATCGGCAAACGATGAAAGTTCATCTATGTCTGTAACATTTCGCAATTCAAGAAATCAACATGAAGATAATAATAATGATACAAAAGCAAATTTTAGTAGTTGGCAAGGTGGTGCAGGACATAAAGCAAGTAATGGTAATGATTCTGAAGGAACTAATAGTAGAAGTACAACATTTGTTAATTCAGCAATGCGTGGTGGCTTTAATAATGCTGGTAGTGGATTTCGAGGTAAAAAAAAGAAACAATTCTCTATTGATTATAAATATAGAAAATTATTTCGTAAAGGTGGTCGAGGCGGTGGTGGAGGAGGATTCAATTCAGGTGATCGTGGTAAGACAAATTTAAGTAAATATCAAAATTTTAATTTTCTTTGTCGAATAGATAATCGTGGCAGTGGTGGTGGCGGTGGTAGTAAGTGTTGATTTTATTTGAATAATAGGTTCAATTTTATCTATTTTTTATTGTTTAGATTGTTTCAATTGGTACGTTCTATTTGTCAGTTGTATGTTCACATTTATTAGCTTGTTTTTTCTTATAGCAATAAATCTGGTCATCATTCTCGTGATTGTCCTGAAGAAAGAAAACCTCGTGGTATAAAGAATTTTGTTTTTTTTTTTTTTTATATTTTTTTAATTCTTTATTCCTATGAAATATCTTTTAGATGGTGGTGGTGATAGTTTCGGTAATTTTGGTGGTCGTAGAAATAATAATCGAGTAAGTTAATATTTATTTTGAAAACAAAACATAAATGCACTTATTTATTTAGGTATCTGATGATATTTTCGATCAACGTAAGTTTATACATATACGATAAAAATATAATTCTATGAATATCTTTTCTAGCTGGTGGTCGTGCTGGTGCTCAACCAAGTGAACGTTATATTCCACCACCTCCACCAACAACTGAAGATGCTATATTTGGTGAAGCAGTTACTAAAGGCGAAAATTTTGGAAAATATCATCAAACACATGTTCAATGTACACCTTTAGGTAACTACATATACTTGATATTTCTATATTGAATTGAATTATTTTATTAAGATAAAGTAAAACCAATTGAATTATTTGAAGAAGCTAATCTTGCTACACAAATTTTATCAAATATTCGTCGTGCTCATTTTGAAGAACTAACAGCTATTCAACGTTATACAATACCTTGTATACGACAACAAGATGATATAATGGCTTGTGCTCAAACTGGATCTGGTAAAACAGTAAGTTTCATTTCTTTTTTTTTTTTTATAAATATTGATTATCAGTTATACGATGATTTAGGCTGCTTTTCTCTTACCAATAATCTCCAATTTACTTGAATATAATGCGGATGAATTATCTGAAAAATCTCATCCACCAGCACCACTTTGTCTTATTGTTTCACCTACACGTGAGCTTGCTCTACAAACAGAACGTGAAGCAAGAAAATTTGCATATCAAACTGATGTGATACCTTGTTTGTTATTTAAAAACAAAAAAAAAACTCAACATACTAAAAATTTTTCTTTTATCTGTGAAAAGGTTCTGTTGTTGGTGGTCATGATATGTATGCTGTATCGGATCGTCTTCGAGAGGGTTGTCATATCCTTTCAGCTACTACTGGTCGTCTCAAAGATATGGTTGAAAAAGGCCGAGTAAAATTTAATTTAATTTAATTTAACATATTCAAAAATTTTTTTTCAAGGTTTCATTAAAACGAGTTAAATATTTCGTTCTTGATGAAGCCGATCGGTATGTAAAAAAGCAAAACTATTAAATTAAAATTAATCAAGAAGGGAGACAGCAGAGACTTCAGTCTTGAATCCTATGAAAACTTACGAAGTCTTCTGTTGCTTTCTCGAATCTAATCTGTGTTTTCTTTTTTCTTTTTTCCTTAAAGAATGTTAGATACAGGTTTTGAACCTGATATACGTAAATTAGAAGATCTTGGTTTACCATCAAAAGAAGAGCGCTTTACATCAATGTTTTCTGCAACATTTCCTAGTGAAGTACAACAATTAGCCAAACATTTTCTACGTGAAAATTATGTATTTCTTGTTGTTGGTATACCTGGTGGTGCTAATGAAGATATAGCACAAACAATTGAAGAAGTACCACATTCAAAAAAAAAGGATCGTCTTTTTCAATTACTCGAACAAAATCTTAGTAGGAAAATCAAAAAAGAAATATTTATCTACGAAATTTATTTATTTATCATCGTTTTAGAATCTGAACGTTGTTTAATATTTGTTGAAACAAAACGATCAGCTGATTATATAGGTGCCTTACTTTCACAAAAACAATTTATGAGTACAACAATGCATGGTGATCGAACACAAAGACAACGAACGGAAGCTGTACAACAATTTACGAATGGAAAATGTCCAATACTTGTTGCAACATCAGTTGCTGCTCGTGGTTTAGATTTTCCTTTAATTGGTTATGTTGTTAATTATGATTTACCAGATACAAGTGATTTTTATATTCATCGTATTGGTCGAACAGGTGATATTAATTGAAACTTTTTTTGTAAAAGAACAAAAAGAATTGTATGAGTTGTTTTGTTCTATAGGTCGTGCTGGTCATTTAGGTAAATCGATATCATTTTTTGATCCAGAACGAGATTCTGATCGAAAAATTGCTCCTGAACTTGTATTAAAATTAAGCGAAGTATGTCATTTCTAAACTGAAGAATTTATTTTCAATGTTTTTATTTCATTAGGCTGGTCAAGCAGTACCTGAATTTCTTAAAAAATATGTTGAAGGTACCAATATGGGATTTTATAATGATGGTCAAAATCCACGAAATACTGATGTAATATTGATTTTATTGCCATTATTAAATTTTTTATTTTTTATTTTTTCATATGTTTTAGATGAGATCTGGACATAATCATTTTGGTAGTCGAAATCAAGCAAGTGGTCCTATTGGTGGTACAGCTTCTGCTGGTGCGACTAATGAAACTTGGGATTAGCAAAAATATATGGTTTCTTTTCTATTTCTATATAAATAATATATAAGATTCTTCTATTGTGATTTGTACATTCCAAACATGTTGAACAATTCAAAACGAACAAGATTCTTTCTTTTTTCTAATTCAAGTCTAGTTCGGAAAGAACAGTTCATTGGATTGTTTGTACATTTATGGTTTTTTTTTTTGCGTTTTTCTTTCATTTTCTTTTTCCTTTGTAACCTTCTAAAAAGTCTATCATGTCACTATCATATATTACATATACATCGTTAAGAAGAAAAAAAAAAAGTTTGAATTATTTTTTTTTTTTTGTTTTGTTATTTGATTTTTTTTCTTTTCGATGTTTTTCAATCATATGCTCTTTACTAGCAAGTATTAGCATACTAATGATGATAAATTTGAAGATTGAAAACAAACACATGCATGAGTTCTTATTTTAAATCAGATACTTCAAGTGATTTCTTTTTTTTTTCTTCTTTTGTTAATCATGAAAGTGAAAATATCTGATGCGATATGAAAGCATTAGACAACAATGTTTTTCAAAATGTTTTTTTTCACCTTTCTTTTTGTTTACAAAATAAAATACGCAGAGATATTGAAAGTACAATCATAAAATAATTCTTTGTAATTATCTTGATATCATTTCAATAGATTATTAAATTTGTATAGATTGTTTAAAGCTTACATTATATAAACTATGTAAAAATCGGATCGATTTACTTTAGATTAGATTATTAAAATCTCGACCCCATGAAAGAGTGTAAAGGAATATTGTACTAATTACAAGTAACCTGATAAAAAATAAAGAGAAGCACAGGCACATAGAAACATAAAACAATGAACACAAATAGGATGAGTCATAAGCAATCATTTGCAGAATCGAATCAACTTGATATGATTAAGTTTAACGTAAATGATTTCTAACAAGTAGTGAGAAATAGGATGAGCAACTTCACTGTAATTCTGCCTATCAATTGTAAAGTTGCACTTCAACCTCGAGTTACAGTCGCCTATCTCTAATAAAAAAGACAGATAGGGAAAAAAAAGCAAAATAGTATTCATCAAACATTTTGATTTTTTCATTTGTTGTTCGTATTTCAAGATCCTTATCGATGAATGCAGCTGCAATAAAATATGTATTTAAATAAAATTCATTCTTCTATCTTACATACTTCTCCAATATTAATATCTAGATAAACATTTGGTTTAGATGCTACCGTGTGACTCAATCTAACAGATATAGTTACATTTTTTAACGAAAAATTCATCTTTAAGTTCTTTTCCTGCTACTGTATTTTCTCTGATCCCAGTTTCTGTACTGATGAAAAGTATCAATAAATTTATTTTTCTAACGTCAAGAAAACCTAATTTAAGTATTCTATGCACAATAAATTGATTCGGTCATTAGCAAAATGTCGTTCTTAAACTTCCTCTTGCCGTGAAACTAAAATTTTATAACAGTTAGAATTTTAACTCTATCACCCTTTGTTTAATAATGATAGCTTCGTGAACTTTTTCGTAAAATTACTTCTCATTATGTGTGATATTATTTTCTCTAACTTCATTTTGCGAGATCTATCCAACTATGACAAAAAACGCTACTGCAATTTTGGCATATGGGCACATCAACCAACCTGTAAATACCTTGAAAATCAAAAATAGTCGGTCTGTACACTCTATGGACAGCTCGGACTTAAAATAAATTAGATTGATAGTGAGAACATTCATTTTATTCGAATATGATCCATTTCCTTAATTTACATTGCACGATCTTCCAATATAAAATCAGATAAAGATTTGAAACTATCGCTTTAATATAATGACACAGGATACGTATGCAATCGATACTAAGTATAATATTTAAAATTGACGACGATGCAAAAATGAGTGAAAATTCATATCACAATATTTCAGAGAGAAATTTGTCAATCAATCAATTTGATATATGCACATTCATGAAGTTCATCAATTTTTATATTTTAATTCTAAACAAATTCATAACATGTTTCAACTTTTCGATAGAATATCATATGTGAACTTCATAGATCTCTTACATATTAGCTCGAATATATTATTATGTGACTATCAATAAATATATTTGTTATTAAAACAAAAAAGTTTGACTATACTGTTAAAGAGCTTGACTCTTCAATAAGTAAGTGTTGATTGTTTTACATAAACGAATACATTAATTACCAATTAGTGTTGATCATCGAATACGAACACGTGAAATAATCACATTTCTTATCGGATGTCAATTTGATTGGTACACGAAGGAGAGCAAAAGATACCCCAGTATATATACTCAAAAAAAATAAGAATAGAGAAACATTTAACTATTGATTGCTTTGAATAATAGTCAAACTATGACATCATCATTTGAGGGAAATTGTTCATCTTACTGGTCGTATTCACCATATCCTTATAACAATAGTTATGATACACCTTCATCAAATTCATCTTATTATGAATCGCCTATGTCATCATCATCTCCACCTATGGTAATGTTTCCAGCATATGATCAACAACAGCCTTGTTATTATTATTCGAACGCTACTTTTTCTTGCGAACAATTCGCACCACCATCACCACCAGTCGTATCAGCATCTCAGGTAACATTTACTTTGACATTTTAAATTTTTGCTTAACTTGTTTTATACTAGATGACATATGTTCCATCAGTAACACCTTCACTTTCTCGTCCAGCAACAAATCTACCAAATCGATTACAATATACAATTCGTCAACGTTGGTTACTTAATGAAATATTTGAACATGTTCCTTATCCTAATAGTGTACAAAAGAATGTTATCGCCGATCGAATTGGAGCTACACGTGAACAAATTCGTAAGTTTTGTTATTTTTCATGAAAACAAAAACAAAACAAGTTGCTTTATGGAATTTTTTTAGGTATTTGGTTTCAAAATCGTCGACGAATAGCGGTACAAAGTCATCGTTTATCTTCTCGTCGTAATAATCCATTAGCAATCGATAATAGTCATTTAGTTCAATTGGAACTTGAAGAAATTTTAGCTGATCTTGAATTACATAAAAATGCACCACAACGAATGCCTATTGGACAAGGCTTGTCATCTCGACGTGTTCGTGTAATGAAAAAATAAATATTGTTTTTTCTTTTTCTATGTTTCAATAAAAAAAAGCCTAATAGCAATTATGTCAATAAGAATTTTTTTATCTTTATTGAAGTTAAATCAACATTTCCACTTTTTCATATTTTTTCTAGCTATATTAATATATCATTGAGTATTGGACGTGCTTGTCACACTAAATATTTTCTTCTCTTCCGGTTGATTTATCAATAAAACGATCAACAAAGCTCGATAGATGCACACGCACACAGACATGTAAAGACAAGGTCTAAAATAGTTGATATAAGGGACGAGAAAAAGAAAGTAGACAAGAACGTAAAGAATTTGTGAGACCTTCATTGACTCTTTTTGAATGTTCACAGACAGTTAAGCAGTGATGTTGATTAATATCTTTATTTCCTTCTTTTGTTTTACGCATGTTACCTCCACTTGTCTGTCAAAGCAAATGAGTCGAGCAAACGATAAATAGAGAGAAAAGAAGAAAAAAAAAGAGTATTAAATGAAGATTTTGAAGGATGATAAGAGCCAGATTAAATGGAAACGACACAAAGCAAATATGAACTATTTTTAAAAAAAAACAGAACATTTGGACAAATGGAATCATCATCAACAATTGAACATGAAAAAGTAATGAAAACTTTCTTTTATTTTTGTATTTTTCTTTATATATGTTTTCTATTTTTGTAATAGTTACCTAATCCGAATTCGGTATGGGTATTACTTGATAAATTAGGTGAAGGTACATATGGACAAGTTTTTCGAGCTAAATATCATAATTCTGATGAATATGTAGCAGTAAAAATAATTCGTGTAAAATCCGAAGATATTTCGAATGAACTCGAAAGTGAATTAAATATTTTAAAGAAAATTTCTAAAAAACAAGAGAATTTACCTGATTTTATTGGTTTATATGGTGATTATAATGAATTCAAGGTTCCACGTATATGGTTCGTTATGGAACTATGCCATTTAGGTCCAATTACTCAATTATTAAAACAAATTCAAAAGGAAAGTCAGTTGAATAAATGTGAAAAAGAAAAATTAATCGCTTATGCATTAAAAAGTACATTAAAAGCATTAAAGTATCTTCATGAATCAGGTATTATGCATCGTGGTAAGTCATATATATATACGTTTGTAAAAAAAAGAAGCTCTAAATTTTGTTTTCATATTTAAGATGTCAAAGGTAGTCATATCTTAGTAACAAAAAATTATATTATAAAATTGATTGATTTCGGTGTTGCTGGTTTATTCAGTAAAGAACAATCAAAGCGTAATTCTAGTGTTGGTACTTCACTTTGGATGGCACCTGTAAGATAAAAAAAGAAACAATTGTAATGTTTCTTGTTTTTTTTTAATTATTAACATATAGGAAGTCATTGCATGTGCTCATCAATTGGAATATTCATTTGATGAAAGATGTGATATATGGTCTCTTGGTATAACAGCTATTGAATTAGCTGATGGTGAAGCACCATTAAGTCAGTATCATCCAACAAAAGTTCTATTTGAAGTTCCACGTCGTCCACCACCAGCATTAAAAGATACAACACAATGGTCAGAGAATTTTAATAAATTCATTTCAGCTTGTTTAATTAAAGATTATGAATATCGACCACGTGGAGAACAATTATTAACAGAACAACTATTTGTTAATTTTGATGATCAAACAACAGAGTTATATCGTGATTTATTAAAAATTTATCACACGAAATGTTTATCAACAGATATTTCAGAAAAATCAGTTGAAAGTGATCAATCAACAATAATTAATGGTGATACTGAAATGTTAAATATGAATCCTTGGATTGAAAATATACGTAAACCAGCAGATTTAATTGATTTTGAAAATAATTTAGCACAAATTGATTATCTTGATCAACAACGTCTTATTAATTCAATACGAAGACGTTTTAGTCAAACATTAATTTATACATATATTGGAGATGTTTTATTAGCAATTAATCCTAAACAATTTTTACCTATTGATAATCTTCATTTTCAATTAAAATATTTAAAAACTACAAAACATTTATTACCACATATTTTTGCAATAGCTACAAATGTTTATAATCAAATGATGATTAGTCGACAAGCACAATGTATTATTCTTTCAGGAGAATCTGGTTCAGGTTAGTTTTATGTATCTTTTTTTTTAGAATTTATCCAATAAAAAAGTTTTTCTTAAGATCGAATAGTCTTGCCTCATGTTATTCATTGTGATAGAATTTCAGAATTTGAAATTTTCTTTTAATATACCCGCCAATTCTATGAATTCTTTGAAGTTATTCTTTTTCTTTGAAATTCATATTTGAGGACATCTGTTTATATTTTTAAACTATTTTTTCTGTCTAGGTAAAACACATGCAGCACAAAATCTAATCAGTGAATTAGCTCTACTTGGTTTTGGTGAACAACGTGCATTAGAAAATCGTCTTGTTCCAATGAATTTATTACTTGAATCATTTGGTAATGCTGAAACATCATTAAATAAAAATTCGTCACGTTTTGGTAAACTTCTTGATATATTTTTTACTGAATATGGTACAATTTGTTATGTTCAATTATCTCAATTTCTTCTTGAAAAAACACGTGTTGTACTTGCAAGTGGTAATACAAGAAATTTTCATATTTTTTATGCAATATATTCACATTTTTCTCAAAATCAAACAAATCCTTGTACTTTGATTGATCAAGAATCATTTGATTTATTTCAAACAATTACATATTATACATATCTTGGAAATAGTTATAATCAAACTGTATCATCATTATCATTAGTTGATTTATTTCAAATATTAAAAGAATTAAATATTACAGATGATGAACAATCATCAATATTAGCAATTCTTACTGCAATTATTCATTTAGGAAATGTTTCATTCAAAGCTGATACAGAAATCAATGAACCTGGTTGTTCTATTGATGAACAATTCAAACCACATTCAAATGCTGTTTATCGTTTATTAAAAATTGATAATGATCAATTTATTCAATCATTATGTCAATCAAGTTTAATGACACGTGGTGAAACAGTTACAAAATTAAATACTATTGCTGAAGCACAACAAACACGTGATGCTATGGCAAAATCTCTTTATTCACGTTTATTTGATTGGATTGTATTTGCATTAAATCGTTATTTTCGCACAGAACTCGAATATCAACCAAAATCAATTGTTGATATTCGTAAACAACATGAAAAAGATATATTAAATAATGGACTTTCTATTCGATCTAAACCAAATGAAGAATTAAATACAAAAAAACGAAATGATGATTTATGTTCGATATCAATACTTGACTTATTTGGTTTTGAAACATTTGATTATAATTCTTATGAACAATTATGTATTAATATTGCTAATGAACAATTACAATATTTTTTTCGTCAACATACATTTGCATGGGAAATGAAAGAATATGAAAATGAAGAAATACAAAACTCAAGTTAGTAAAAAAAGAAATGTATTTTAATCTTTTCCTAGTTTAGTGTTTTCATCGAACTAATAATACTCTACATTCTTCTGAGTAGCTCATATGAACTAAGTGTTAACTGTTTATAAAGATGAATTATTGGCATACTAATTTATGTTCTACATGTACTCAATAACTGCCGATGGGTTAGAAAGTTGAGTAGTTCTGATTAAAATATATTTCAGTGAAAGTTTATGAAGTTATTTTGAATATAATGCAATGGTTTTTATATTTTGTTTTCTGATAGATGCAAACCTTTTTATTCAACTATCAACTAACTAATGAGGAAAGATCCTTCAGTGATAAATCGATTTTAAACTTAAACTATATTTGATCGAGAGGGTCTAGTAAGTCAGTAAATAATCTTGAGTAATTCGATCTAGTGAGTTTTTGTTGCTGAGATATTAGATGTCTAGTAGATTTTTTCTGTAGGTCTCTAGTTTTCACGCGAAATTATACTTTTGAATTTTGATCTAAAACTTAGTCTACATAAAGATACCAATTAGATTAGCTTGTAGAAAAAATTTCAAAATTTTTTCACTAAGTCTTTCTGAAATATGAATTTTTCAAAATATGGGTTCTTTGCTATAGTCATTGTAAAAAACATTGATACTTTGAAACTATCATATCTTGAAGAGACTCTGCCAAAGAATTGTGTAATTTTTTTCTATAACCTAGTCTAATCGATCTCTTTAGGTAAGTAGATTTTTTCGATCAAATTTCAGAAGTATCATTTCACTGGAAAAGTGCCGTTCTAAAGAAAAAATGTACACGGCATTTGAAATCTCAAAAATAAAAGCACTCATATAGCTTGAACCAGTCTAGGATATTTATCTACTTGCTAGGCTCTACCAATTCAATATAGTTCACAGCTTTAAAGCAATTTATCAATTAGAGAACTTTCCTTGTAAGTCATCTGTTCTTTCATTAAAACATCAGATAAACATCTGTTAATCGTTACTTTTATAGGCTTTTTTTTTCTAAAATATTCATTACATTTTTTTGTCACACTTTCAAACGACAAATTTAGATTCATTCATCCTTCGTACACATGCAATACTGATCTCACACACTCATTTAAAGAGATATGACAACAACTAACGTGTACACTCCTTTTGGAGAAAGTCTTCATTGTTTCCAGCAAAAGTCATTCTTTTATTAAAAAGAAAAAAAATATTTCGCACCTCTCCACTTATAAAAATTTGAATTCTGCATTTTTCCAAACTCGCAAAAAATTTATCTTACATTCTTTCCTTCGACTGTTTCTACTTTTCCACATGCCTAGACTAACTCTCTTAGAATAACGAAATAAATCTGCGGAATACTTCAAATTACTTCTATCGTATTTCATACTATAATCTTACCGATACTACTTTGAAAGAAATTTGTATTATAAAACATATATATATAATATATAAATTCTATATTTTTTTCAGCATATCCTGATAATTTTGATTTTCCAAATAATCGATCCATTCTTGATATGTGTTTATCAAAACCAATTGGTTTATTAGCTTTACTTGATGAAGAATCTC